AGTCATATGTGCATATGGAAGATTAAACAAAGATGGGATAATTTTCACTCTATAGCACGGTTGGGCGGTTCAGGAGGGCAGAAAATTTCCACAGATCAACAGGATGAGATGTTAGTAGATTATTTGAGAGAATCTCCTTTTGCCACAGCTCAAAAGGCAAGAGAAGAGGCAGCGTTTCCAGGCAGTATTCGCACTGCACGTCGAAGAATTAAAGCAAGTGGACTGCTAAATTGTGTAGCTGCACGGAAACCTTTTTTGACTGAGGATCACAAGAGGAGACGAGTTGAATTTTGTAATGAATTTATAAACCGCGATGAGAATTTTTGGTCTAGGGTTGTATTTTCCGATGAAAAAGTATTTCAGTCGTATAATAATGGTCGAATAAGAGTTTATAGGCCGAGAAATCATAGGTATGATGAACAGTATACGCATCATTTAAGAAATAGTGGAGGATTCTCTGTCCACGTATGGGGATGGATAAGTGCCGAAGGCCCGGGCGTTTGTTATCATGTAGAGGAGAAGTTAACAGGATTATATTACAAACATATTATTGAGCACACAATGTTGCCATCGGTGATCCAGAGATTCCCCAACAACGACTTTATCTTCCAACATGACAATTGCCCGGTGCATACGAGTAGAATTGTTCGAGAATGACTAGAAGAAACTGATGTTAATGTTCTTCCGTGGCCTTCCCGTAGTGCAGACTTTAACCCCGTCGAAAATGTGTGGGCAGAGTTAACAAAGAAACTAAATGAAAGAAACCTTAGACCACGGAATAGAATTGAATTATGGGAAGCAATTGAGCAGGCATGGGAAGAGCTTGTTAACTATAACATGAGGGGATTGGTGCTATCTATGAACAGAAGACTGCAAAATTGTATTGACAAGAATGGGGCTTCCACCAAATATTAATTATTATTTATCATTGTTTATCGTTATTTAATATAAAATAGATTTAAAATAAAATGCATATTAAAAAAAAAGACTTCTTTATTTTCGTTATTAAGATCATAATCCATTTTATTCAAAAAACTGTTTTCTATATTTTTCATTTTGTAAAATATTTTGATATTTTAATTTTAATCTACTTATTCTAGCTAGTACACCACTGGCAACGTCACTTTGACGTAAAAGGTGCGTTTAAACGAAGTAAAAATTTAAAAAATGGGCTCCTAGATACGTGAACCTGTAAACTATTCCGTGACCGCAACTGTACCTAGAAAGTATGTCTTCTCTTCTAAAAGTATTTGAATGAGCAGCATACGAGTAAAAAAATTGCCAGTACATACAGTTCTCCCTTGTCAAAGATAGGAGGTTATTAGACACATGAGCATGTTAGTTACAAGTGATCTATAACTTAATTGGATTTCATTTTTCTTGTCAAAGTTTTACCAGCGTTGTATGATATTTACGACTTACTGATTAGGAAGGTTACCAAATGCAAGCCAGAAACTGAAAGACCGAGAGCGAGATGACAATACCAGGTCAGGAAAGATATCAAAATCCTGAAAGTGAGAACCTGGAGAGAACTATGCATAGATCGAAATGAGTGGAAGAAAATTGTAGCGGAAAGCAAGGCATACAACAAACTCTGACAATGCACAAGAAGAATGCGGAGTGATTCACCGCAATAAGCGAATCTTTTTTTTGCAGTCGTCCTATCAAGCAAATCATTCATTTTTTCCTTGCCTGTTAAAGAAAATTTCTGTTGATCAGAATATGCATAACTCCACGGCTGATTGCTGGCATTACCAATAACATGTTCACTTTTAGATAAATCAATATCACTTTGGTTATTGTCCTTTATCTCTTCAATGTTTTCGTTACTTTCTGGTAAGAAGATTTATATTATTACATTTTTTTTACCTACGCATCAGGTCAAAACGAAGTATCTTCTTCTTTAAGTGCCGTCTTCCAATCGCAGGTTGGATATCATCATCACTATCTTTACTCTATCTACTGCTGTGAAGAGTTCTATGGAACTGCATTTATACCAGTCTCTTAAATCCTTCAACCATGACACTCCCCGTCTTCCTATAATACTCCTTCCTCCTCTTATCTTTCCCTGTATTATCAGCCTTAGCAGTTCATATCGCTTCCCATCATTACGTGTCCCAGATATTGTACCTTTCTTATTTTTATTGTGTTTATTATTTCACATTCTTTGCCCATTTCTCGCAATACTTTCGTGTTAGTTTTCTTCTGTGTCCATGCTATTCTAAGCATCCTCCTGTAACACCACATTTCAAAAGACTGTAACTTATTTATGCGCTCTTGCTTCAGTGTTCAGCTTTTAAGTCCATATTGCAGTATCGAAAACACGTAGCATCTCAGTGCTCTTACTCTTAGTTTTAGTCTAAGGTCTTTAATTACTATTAAACTGAGAAACATAATTAGAGCCGCTTCTTTGATTTTTCTTTTTTTACCATCCGTTTCTTTTGGGACTACATTTGAGTTATTCCATTGAACCCTATGTTCATTATCCCATGCGTGTTTACAGATTTGAGATCTATCAAATTCTTTATTTTTAATATAAGATTGATGTTCACTTATTCTAACATTTAATGGCCTTGATGATTCACCTAAATAAAACTGATCGCATTCACAAGGTATTTTATAAATGCAATTCTTTGTCCTTTCTTGTTCATTGTTAGGTTTGGTTTTGGACAAAATAGATCTCAACGTGTTTGTTGTTTTGAATGTTGTTGAAATGTTGAATTTATTTCCTATCCTTTTAAGTTTTTCTGATAGTCCTTTTATGTACGGTATTGTTATTTTCCTCATATTATTCCTTGTGTATGCTGTAGGATCTCGTTCTAAGCTGTTCTGTTCTATTCGAACGATTGTTGAAAATTCCTTATTTATAAACGATAAAGGATAATCATTTTTTAATAAAACAGATGTTAACAAATGTTAATTAATGAAAATTCGTTCTTGGAGGAGAAACAAAATACCTTGTGAATGCGATCAGTTTTATTTAGGTGAATCATCAAGGCCATTAAATGTTAGAATAAGTGAACACCAATCTTATATTAAAAATAAAGAATTTGATAGATCTCAAATCTGTAAACACGCATGGGATAATGAACATAGGGTTTAATGGAAACTCAAATGTAGTCCTAAAAGAAACGGATGGTAAAAAAAGAAAAATCAAAGAAGCGGCTCTAATTATGCTAAATGAGGCCAATTGTGTCGCAAATTCCTCGGCAGAATGTAGTAGGATCTGGTTACCAATATTGAAAGAGGAAGTTATTAATAATAGATTAATAATAGAAAGAAAATACCAGTATTAGTAAGTCAGTAACATATAGAGGATATATCATTTATGTTTTTTTAAATAACGTAACATATAAAATCAGAATTTTGATGTTTGTTGAAGGTAAACTAAATTCACAAACAAATACTTACAATGTCGGGATAGTATTATGAGGTTTTTTTCCTGGTTTTTCCTCATAATTTACTATGGAATCACTAACAGGAGAATTTTACTGTCATCATGTCATGTGTTTGTCTTTTTAAAGACGAATTACATGCTATGATTTTTTTCTGACGGATATTCTCAAGTTAAAGTTGATTTCATGTAATCGAATGAGCTATCTTATAAGTAAAGTCGTCCCAGGAGCGCAACTCAACAATATTGGCAATATCATTTTAAAGTCGTCTACTTTAAAATGCATAATGTATGTCTGAATTGTCAATATAAATGAGTCAGATAAAATTAAATTATTAGAAGAATTTTTCACTATGTAACAAAAAACAAAATTTGTTTAATTTACTGTTTGTATTTTGAGAACGATTTCCGAAGTGGAAATTGAAACGTCAATAAACGTATTTTTATCTTTAATTGTGGCTTATTCCCAGTTTAATAGTAATTAATTTATAATGCCACAAGTAAATAGCTTCAGAACAATTCTAAGGTCTTTGTTGCAGAGAATTGTTTTCATTTTTACAAACTCATTTCTTGTTATTTCTATCCTGGCTCTTATTTCGGTTGTTTGATCATTATTATCTGACATTCAGGTTCCTTGGTATTTGTATTTATTAACCCTTTCTATCGGTGCATTTCCCAAATGTATGTTTGTTGGTATATTTGGTTTCTTTGTTATTATGATATATTTGGTCTTTTTTATATTCATTTTTAGTCTATATTTTTCACAGAAACTGTTCTTTCTGTTTAGCAGTAATTGGAGTTGTTCAGCAGAGCTTGCCATAATCACGGTGTCATATGCATATCTTATGTGGTTAATAGAATTTCCGTTAATTATTATTCCTTCACTTTGAGATTGTAATGCTTCTTCAAAAATGGCTTTACTATATACATTAAATAGTAATGGGGACATAATACATCCCTGCCTAACTTCTTCTCTCCTGATTTCAATTTCTGGACTGGGTTCGTTATCTCTTACGACGCTCTTTGATTCCAGTAGAGTTTTGTTATTATTCGTTAGTCGCTATGGTCTATGTTTTTTGTGTTTAGAATTTGGACGAAGTTTTCATGTCTTACTTTGTCAAATACTTTTTCAAAGTCAATGTAACAAACATGCACATCAACATTCATAAAAAAGTAGTATAGGGATCTGTAATTTAATTACATAGTTTTCGATTTTAACCACAGGTGTCTTCCAACTAATGTAATTATTAAATCATTGTTGTACACTCAATTGGGTGGACGCAAGCAAAAATTAGTTTTGTTGTCCACCCATTTGGGTAGTTATACACAATGTTTTGTTTATGGAAAAAACGCCTGACACTGAACCTGTTAAATTTCTTTGTTAAAATTTAATTTATAATTTGCTGCAAGGCAAAAAAATATAAAATCTGCATTCCTTTAAATTTGTCGGTGTGTTGAAAGTCAAGGATTAATTAATTTTGTAATTTATCATACAAAGTAATGGACTATTTTTCTTCTTACGGTACCTTTCTAAACTTTGGTTTTATTAAAATTTTAATACGTTCTGTATATAAGAATATCGTATTAACCAAAATGTTTTTTTTAGGTAATTCATTGCACGGGTCACGTAGTCAAATACAAAAATCTCGCCAACAAAGACGACGAAGAATCGACCGAAACGAAGACTTGTTTCATAGCTGTTAATCAACCCATTCCCCACCCGTCAAATATAGAGTCTCCTCTTCCTAAGCAAACGTTTTTAACTAAGCACAGCATGGATATGAAATTCACTCATGCTGATGACGAATTGTAAGTTGTTAAAATAATATACTGGGCTCAAAGTTTCTTGAAGCAGAATCAAAAACCGATTCATGATTCAAAAACTTACTTTATATTTCAGTTTATTCTCTCCCAAGTCCAATCCATTTTTTCTAACGATTCTTCAATTTAATCAATTTAATAAACTTTAAAATATAGTGCACTGTATTTCCTGAAAAACGCTTTCCTGGTAGAATCTTTTCATATTCTGGTGAATATAATAAAAGTTTTAAGTATTCATACTTTTATTAAACCATTTTCGTCTTTACAACATATACGACCTCGTGTCTAGGTCTCCATTCTGAAATTATCTTGGTCCATCTCTGACTCTGGCAACATGGCCTACCTAGTTCCATTTCAGCGTTATAATTCTTTTAACTGCGTCCATAACACCTGTTTTTCTCCGCCGCATTGAAGGTAATCAATTAACGATCTTTGAAGCTGATGCCATAACTTTCTTGAACTATTGTGGTCTCTATTATGTGAACCTTATCTTGTGGTCTATATTATGAATCCATACACAATTTCATTATTAAAAATATGTAATAATCTTTTTACTCTTGATCAAATTCTATCATTCATATACTATGATATATTTTGATGCACTATTAATAATTTCTTCAGAAGGAGCACTGTTTGTCGTCCAGGTGGAGGATTATCCTCAAGGTTTAAATGACCATGTTGAAATTCTTTCGCATAGTCGTGTGCGTTTATTTGAAAAATGAATGTAGTTCAATGATAAATATTTTTTCTGCTAGTGAGGTATAGGTGTCGCTCCGAGAACTTTCCAACCAACTTTTGATTTGAATATAATGTACCTACTTAGATTAAAAAACTTTTAATCAAAGTCTTTGAGCTTTAAAAGAATAGGAATTAACAAAATAAATACAAACGCTAAAAGTAATCAAAGTTTAGGCATTTTTGTCTGCTGCAGGCCGGGTCATGTGAAACTCACAGCGGATAAGAATCATTTCTAAAATGAGAAATATTGAAATTTAAAAGTATATATGTCAAAATTTAATCAGCCCTGAGCCTATAAAAGTTGGTCTCGCGACTCGTTTTGTTAACAAGTCTATGTGCCCTTATGCTCTGGTACCTGTATTAAAAACAGTCCCAGTTATATTGGTGTAGCTATCAATAAATCTTTAGGTCCCCATGTATTATTATCTTTGAATCTCGCGTAATTATAAAAGCTACCGCGGAAATATATAAATACAATGGGAGAAATCTACATTAGCCTCTAAAGATGATATTCCTGTACAGTTTAGACCTACAGAGTACTGTACTTTCATTATAGTACACGTACATAAGTTACCGTCGGTCTTACCATTTGCAGGCAACTTTAGGTTTTAGTCCCCAGGTTTTACGTATGCCTTATGAGCAACTCTAAAATAGTTTTGTAGGTATTTTAGGAGTAATAATATGAATTATCCCTAGTGAACTTAGACTCCAAGCTCATCTGAGGTACCTAACATCTTTGGTTCTAACTAGTTGCTCTCGAAACAGACTCAGCTTATCTAATCTGTTCAGCTTTCGTCTATTTGTTAAGGTACCAAGGTTACCAATTTGGTTTGGAACCGGTAAGAGCTTTAGGTCCGACCTACAGAAGATACAAATTCAAATTTTTATAATTATCAACTGATTGTGCCTTAAGTAAAGCAAGAATTGTCAGGTACTGAGTTATACCGGGACTAGTATACCGTGACCAGTCACGATATGGATACAGTGTAAAATACCAAGATGGATGACAATATTCAATACATAGATTCATTATTAGAAATCTATGGTTCCTGTGACAACTATCCGTGTTAAACTAAAATTATACAGAATATTAATAAACATTTTCAATCCTAAATTGTTTTAACAATCTAAATTATTAATGTTGAAACAAAATGAAAGAGGTTGCGCTGCTCAGAGCCGACCATAATATGGAGATGGTTCTTAAAACATTTATATTAGTACACAAACAAAAATAAAATTAGAGTAAAGAAAAAATATATATGATCACAACTACTGGAGCTGAATCAGAAATATTGAATGACTAAAACAAAGATAACAAATAATAAACAATCAATTTGTCAAAATGGACGCCACCGAATTATTTTTTTATAGCTTCTTAGAATCGGAAATCGAAAGTATTACCTATTATTAATCAAAATTCATACATAAATTTATATACACTCTGTATAACAGGTTCAAAACTTGTTAACTTTATAGTGTTAATTTTAGAATTTTAAATAAATAACAATTATTGATGGTCTATAAGGGAAATATTTTATCTATATCTGCAAACTTCACATAATATCTACTTTCAATTTAAAATGAGTGCCGGATGAATATATTGCCGGTTAATAAATGCACTTTCACATAATGAAAAATTTAAAAAATAATATAAATAATAATCAAAGTTCATTAAAGTATCCCAACGTATCCTACCGCCACTCAGAAGGAATATCAACTAGGTGTCAAATGGGACGGCCAATATATACGAAGACAAACAAAGCAGTTAAATATTTGAAACAAAAGATGTCTATGTTTTCCTTCTCCAAAGAAGTGAAAGAGGAAACTGTTAGTGCCTTATTTACCGACTGCAGGTAGAGCATAGAAAAATTATAATGGCTCACCTGACTGACATTTTCGGGGAAAACACAACACATTTAACCCACTGTGCAATCAGAAATGATATTCCTTGCTCATCAAAATTAAGTCAAATGCCGGGTGATGGTATGATTACATCTTACCAATAGAAAATCGTTTTATGACACAATGACGCTTGTGTCATCTTTCAAGAATCGACAAACAACAAATTTAGTGTTTACGTTATTTGAAACGAAGGTACGTTGTACAGAGAGCTCGTAAAAATTATTGCAATTATTTCAATATTTAGTGAAAATAAAAAAAATATAGGTTCTTTGGATTGATACATACCAAGACATCACAATTTGACTATATACTATCAGAAATATATTGCTATTAATTAATCAGGCACATAAGCCTTAATGCTGAGTTAATGCTATTGTGTTACTTTGAAGTAAATTTTACCCACTTTTTAATAATATCAAAATTTAACAGATTTTAACAAGTATTTATATTTTTGATTGTTTGCTGCTAGTATCTCAACGTTCATTCTCTTGATTTCAGAAACTTTAGCTGGCTTATATGTACTCAAAATTTTTACAAATTTGTCATTATTAATATTACTGTAATCAACAGATTTTTAACTAAATAAACATGAAACCTCTTCTGAATTAATTTAACGTGCTACCTTATTCACTATTTGTTCAAGTTGCTCTAGTAGACGGTTCTTTACATTTCACATTTCACAATTGTATTGTTGGATTTAAGACTTATACAGGCTTTCCATAAAACCGAGTGGCCTCATTGGAATTTTCTATTCTAAAATAATTAGTTTCTTATATTAGTTCATTTTACAGAATTTCCATATGCTTTAGAAGCTTGTTTGGAAGAGTTTTATTACATTCTTGACAAGTAAGTACTCAGCATAGGTTGCAAAAGTAACCAAAACGGATTAACAGCGTTTATAGATTATCTTAAAGCTAAAAATTACAAAAAGTTAGGTTATGTAATGTATTCTTGTGTGGGAGTGACTAACCTACCAATCGACGAGAGTTTTGTTTCATGGTTAACTCTAATTAAGATAGCAACAGTTGTTGAATTCGGTTCTTTTATATATTCGTATATCACACAGAACAGAAGTTTTAAAATGTAAACGTTTTATTTCTGTTTCAGTATGAAAGAAGTTTTGGGATACGATTCTGAAGACCTATTGGGAAAATCTGCATACGATTTTCATCACGCCGTGGATAGTGATTCAATAATATCATCCTATAAGTGTTGTAAGTATATCTAATTGTTGACCAATTCATTATTTTGTTAGTAATTAGGTTTTACGGTTGAAAATATTATAGAACTGTAAGGATTTACTAGGAAAAAATAAAAACGAGAACATTTTGGTAAGAAGTAGTTGGTTGTAAATGTTTGTAATGTCCTGCTGCTTGATAATAATTGACAATGTGACTTTTATATTTAAAAATATGAACTGGAAAAACTTCTAACTAACGCTTAAATTAAAAAATTTACGTGGCGCAGTCAATAAAAGATCTAGATTGAGATTATTTATTTGTCAAAAATATTCAGCAACCAGCTTGAGAAAATACACATAAATTAGCTTAGAAGACAAAAGTAAACGAATATTATATAATATTAATTATAAAGCAATTGTTACAGCAAACTAATGTCCTTTTGATAAAACTTGATTAAACAATACCGGTGACTGAAAAAATTCAATACAAAAAATAAGTATGTAAAGGGAACAAGGGATGGAAAATCGTAGTCAAGAGTTTTGTAAACAAGTAACCATCGAGTGTCTAAGAAACAAGCAAAATGAAATAATATCACGTAGAGACGAGTGAATACGGATCGTCGAAGAGTTCTACGAGGAATTGTATCAGAAGATCAAACAGGAATCCAGATAGCCATTTAAAAGAAGATTCATAAATCAAGGTTCCGAAGTACCAGAAATAAATGTAGATGAGATTGGACAAGCGTTAAGAAAAATGAAAAATAACAAAGCCCCAGGAGAGGATGGAATTGTAATAGAAGCTATCTTAAATGGAGGCTATATGCTATTAAATTCATTAAGGAAACTGTTTAATCTTATGTTTGCAGCAAAGAGAGGTCCCCAAAGAATGGAACAATGTTATAACCATTTTTTTACATAAAAAAGGATATAGAACGGACCTAGAGAATTATAGACCTATTAGCCTGTTGAACCACATATACAAGCTTTTCACTAGGTTAGTGACATCAAGATTGGAGAGAAAATTAGATTTCTACCAACCGAGAGAGCAGGCAGGATTCTGATCAAATTATGGTACCAATGATCACCTCCATACAGTAAAGACGCTCATTGAAAAGTCTATAGAATACAACACACCTCTTGTTCTCACTTTCATAGATTTTCATAAAGCGTTCGACACGATCGAAATAGACAGCCTTATAGAAGCAATGAATTACAGCAGGATTGACCATAGGTATAGTGAACTTATTTACAATATTTACAAAAATGCCACTATGACTGTTAAGATACACGATAAAACCCGACCAATAAAAATAAAAGGTGGGATAAGGCAAGGAGATACATTGTCACCGAAATTATTCATAACAGCATTAGAGTATGCCTTTAAGATGGTCAATTGGGACCACAGAGGAGTAACAATAGACGGCGAAAAACTTAATTAGCTCAAAAAAATTTTTATTAAAAAACCTTTATAAAAGGTATATATTTAAAAACCTCAACGGGCTAATTTTAAATATATACCTTTTATAAATGTTTTTTAATAATTTTTTTTTAATATATGGTATACAGCCAATTACAGGAACGTAGATTACACTAACCACAAATATGTTAAATGAATTGGACTTTGTATGTTCGAAGGTGGGCCTCAGAATAAACTTGTCCAAAACTAAGTTTATGACAAATATGGTCCCCAATAACCATTTAACTATTCGAAACAAAGTGATAGAACTGGTGGAGAAATATACATATTTAGGTCACGAAATAAGAATCAGCAGGGATAACCAAACTTCCTGATACAACCGTGGATAGTACTATGATGTTTTATCCAGCATCTGCGTTTCTTCAAACAGTATCCAATGTTCTCCGCTTCCCAAAGCGTTTTCGGCAACGGCAAATTTGTCGATATGTTATAAACGACAATTGCTTTTATGTTCGTTTATCCTTGTGTTTGTGTGTCTTTTCGTGGTTCCCACATATACCATTTCACATGTATGTACATGGTATTCGGTATACTCGGGCTGTTGCTAATGTGTCGCGTTTGTCCTTCACCGATCTTAAACAGTCCTTGATTTTTTTTGTAGGCTTGAAAATGGTCTTTACATTGACTTTTTTAAGCATTTGCCCAATTCTGTCCGTTACCACTGATATATAGAGCAAGAACGCTTTGCCTATACATTCTGTTCCTTCGTCCTTTCTTCTAGAGACGTTGTTCATCGCTTTATGTATTTCTCTTCTGGTATAACCATTAGAGGTGAACGCTTTTTGATTTGAAATATTTTTGTTTAAAATTATCTCAGCTACGTTTTTTATTTAAAACCATGGACGTATAAACACAGATGGACTCAGTTATTTACATAAAATTGTGAAGTCAAAATTATTTGAATAGGTCACATTCTGAGCACCTTCAACTGTTGTCACGTTTTGTTTTAAAATTTCTTATTCGCGAGTCGCTGAAAATGTTGCTCCGTATTTTATACTCTACAGGTGCTATCAAACCAAAATAATAATTTATTGGTTATATTAATATATTTAATTGTAATCAAAATATCATGTGTGCACATAGTGTGCATTATCATTTAATAATAGCGTATAATAGATATCATTCAATTATTTTATACGTAGAAGCACTGAAAACTATTTATAAATGGCAACGGTTGTTTACATTTCTCTGTCTTATGGATCTACGTCAAACTTCAAATGGTGTTCCGTGTTTGTTTACTTTTAACAGTAAATGAGGAAAAAGTTATTTTTCGATATCTTGGCTGTATTTTGAGTGATATTTGTGAAAAGTGAAATAAAATAAACGAAATATTTACATCCCGATCTCTCATTTCATTTGTAAGTAAAGATAATTCATAATGTCGTGGACCTGACGTCATTATTTAGTGACGTCGATCTACGGATGAAACAACGAAATCAGGCATTGCTAAAAACATTGAGTTCTCTTCGGTGCGTTATCTTAGCGAGACAGAGACGAACTAGTTTTTTGCGTTAGTGAAATAGCTTTAATATTTTTGTATTTTTGGGATCAATCGTTTTTAATATTTTATAGTGAGATACTATTTATGTTCAGTGCGTTTCAAGTCGTTTTTAACATTTTACAGTGAGATCCTAAAAATGTAAGTTAAATTATGTTTATTTTAAAATAATTTATATGTTTTGTACACTTATGACAAATTAATGAATTAAAAAAAATCACTTTTAAAAGTGTGTAAAATCTGATAACTTTATTGTTTAGTTTAATATTTTTTGCAAAAGATTGATATGTAATGTAGAAGCTTGTCATAAATTAATAAATTAAAATGAAAAGTGTTTTAAAAGTGTGTAAAGCATTTAGTTTCTAGAATGTATAAAGCCAAAGGATCTTAGCTAGAAATTAAATGCTTTACAAACTTTTAAAGTACTTTTCTTTTCAATTCATTTTTTTTAATGTTTTTCTTAAACTTAACCAATATATAACATTTTATCTATTATCTAAAACCTACCGGTTTTACAGGGAAAGTAACAATAGAAAAGTGGTCCATAGATAAGGGAGGCAAATTATTTTTAACGTTTATTCATTTATGAAACGGGAAAAAGATTTGGGATATTGCACGACTCCTTTACCCCTAATAGTGCGAGTGGCTCAAGCAACTGGTACCTCAGAAAGTACGGTAAAAAGGATAACTAAGGAAGGTAAAAACAAACCAGCAACTTCACAATTTGTATCACCCAGAACAAGTATTTGCAAGCCCAGCCCCAAGTCATCAGTCAATCCATTTGAGGAACACGTCATAAGAAATACCATTTACACGTTTGCTACCATCTATAAAAGAAGACCTACCATGAAAACTGTTTACGAATCTGTTCGAAACGAAGGAATTGTAACTGGTAAACTATCTTCTTTCAGAAAAATTGTGAAAAAATTAGGATTTAGGTGGAGAAAAGTGGAAGACAATAGAAAAATTTTAATTGAAAAAACTGACATAAGAGCCAAATAAACAGAATTTCTAAGAAAACTGAAAAAATACAAATCTGAAAGTAAGATATTTATTTATTTACATTATAACTAATTTTAAAATAATTCACAATTTTTTTTAGATAGAAATATTGTATATAGTGACGAAACTTATATACATAGTTCCCACACAGTTCCAAAAGGTTGGGATGATGGACGAAACAAGTACATAACATCTCCGGTATCTAAAGGGCAACGACTGATCATCTTGCATTGTGGTGGTAAAAATGGATTTGTCGAAAATGCCGCTTTCATTTTCAAATCCGGACAAAAAACTGGTGATTATCATGATGACATGAATCACCAGAATTATATGAAGTGGTTGAAAGACAAACTTCTTCCCAATTTACCTTCCAAGTCAGTTTTAGTAATAGACAACGCCTCATATCATAATGTGACTCTGGAAAAATCTTATACATCGGCTTCGAAAAAAAAATCATAAAAAAATGGTTGACAAAAAGAAATATATTTTTCGATGAAAGCGAAACAAAACAAGCTCTACAGTAAGATACTCATTGCTAATCCTAAAAACCCAGTATATGCTGTAGACCAATTATTAGCACAGCACGGCCACTCGGTTTTACGTTTACCACCATATCATCCGGAACTTAACCCAATTGAAAAGATATGGGCCATTTTAAAAAATGAAGTTGCAGCAAGAAACACGACTTTTAAATTAGCAGATGTTTTAGAACTAGCAAAAATTAGGCTAAATGAAATCACGCCAGAAATATGGGCAAATACTTGCAGGCATGTTGATAAAGTAGAAGAAGAGTACTTCAGCCGAGAATACATTCTGGATGAAGCGCATGAGATCATTATAAATTTAGATGATGATAGCAAATCATCTGAAACATAACTCTCTGATAGCGACGACGACGACGGCTACAACAATGACCTATGAATACAAACTTATCAAGGTGGCAAGCTCGGTATTCCGTCCCTCCATGTATATTTTTTAGTTCTTTTAACATTTTATTAATTATTTCATTTCTTATTTAGTTTTAATTAACGTGTATGTGTGTGTGTCTTATCGTGCGTAACCTAACACTCCGTCTCCATGTAGATGCCGCATTAATATTCTTAAATACTTAGAGACTATTCCGGTTGCACAGTCAAATTGAGTATATAATATCAGTACCATCTAGAGAGTGTCATATAACCCCATAAAAGTAAATAGTTTATCACCCTCCATCCAAGTACAAGAACGAAATTCCAGTTTTCAGTCCAGCGCGCTGAAGAAAGAAGAAGAGAGATATAACCTTCATTATTGAAGGTAGTGTACATTTAATTTAAATACGCTGACAATTTAATTACACAGATTTTGGATCATTCTCAATAAAAAGGTTAATTGTAATTTTTCTCTAAAGTTGATCGTTTTCAACTTAAACAATTTAAAACTGAAAACAAAAACGAAAAATCATGATTTTTGAGGCTCTAAAACACAATTATTTTTGAATTCACCAAACCTTGTTTTATCAGTTCCTGATACTTTAGTTTGGGCTTATTTGATTTTAAAACATTGTTTTTAGTTGTTTGAGGCCATTATCCCAATGTAAAAATGAATTTATACAAAACTATTCAATAAATTAGGACCACTTTTTGTATGGGCGACATCTTGAACATTATTCTGCAGTTTTTATGAAAGTGATTATGCAAAAAATTTCATGTGGCAAAAAATCTCATGCGAATATTTTTCCCAAGGAATTTGTTTTCGTCTCGTATATAAACATATTTTGCTGAATTTAAATCCAAAATCCTATTATTTTTCTATCATACATTTATTTGTTATTTATTTATTTGTTCTCTAGATTTTTTTCAATTCTTAAAAGGTTTATTTACAAGCCAAATTAGTGCAATGTAAATATTTTACATGTTTACACAGCAATTCTTATCAGCTGTGAAGATGGGAAGTCGTAAATTTTTATAGCTAAAATAAAAATGCGATGACTAACTGGAATGTTTAAGATTAAAGAAACATAATATGTCATGTTTATTGGAAATACTCGACATTATTAGCACGTGCAAATCCTACCCTGTCGCCCAATTTCTTATGAAATTAAAATGGTGCATGTTTTTAGGATCCATTTATTTTTTCGGGCATGCGTATTTACGAGGTCCACGAGATTCTGAAACATCTTTACATACAATTTACATTATTTAGGATGAGGAAATGAGGAAGCGTGTTTGTTTACATTTTACTAGGCGTACCATTGGGTTTATTAATGTTCATTAATGTATTGAATAAGATATGAGTTCATGAAATTAGTAGACATTTATAAATTGTAAGTAGACATCATCTGATTAAAAAAGATCTGTTTAGTACCTTTTTAATTTAATATTTCTCATGGATACAAATGAATTAGTGAAATGAATAAAACTCATTTATTTTTCTATGTAGGTTTCCAAATAATATTGACGATCGAACTATTTGGGTAGCAAATTAAGGAGAAAACATAAAGATTTTTTATTGTAGCATTATTTTGATACTATTAAAAAATTAACTTGAATTCAACTATATTTAATTGTATTCATTTTAAAGCAAATAAAATTGTATTTTAATTTTTCTATAAAGACGTGATTTGTTAATAGTTAAACTCTCGTTTTTTTAATTCTTTTAACGTGTTTTTGTACATTATTCATCATCACAGTCATTAACATCTTAGTAGATGTGTTGTGGTTCATAATTGGGCTTCAGCAGCTCGGACAGTTTGATTGATAATATTTCTCCACTGGTCGCGGTCATCAGTTATATGTATTGCCTCAGTATACTGTTTATTACTGTACATTATTACTACTTACAATTTTTAAGATCTGAATAATTATCCGCGAGTAAAAATTCAAGCACGCTTATGCTCATTGCGGAAGCATCACATTCTATCGAAGCTTCAAAACATTGTTTGTTAAATGTATCTTATTGCTGTGTCCATCTATGTTTATATGTCCATGTTTAAAACATTTTCTTCTACGGTGTACAGATTCTTGGTAAATTGATTTTTTTGCGTTTTCCCCCCTGCGAGGGGAGTTATAGGGAGAACGTGTAGACTGGGGTAACGTGGTAGACTGTGTTGCATCTTTTTGGGGTATTAAAATTAATATTCTCTGCAAAATTCAGCTTCTTCTTATGATTTTTAGGAGTCAACTATCTGACGACTGGACTATTTAGGGTTATGATCATTGGTGGTCGAACGGTGCTTTTCGAAATCTTAAACGGAAATAGATAAAAATAGTCTAAAATAAATATTTAACGAGATTTTTTAGTACTGCAGAAATTTTGTAAATGGTCATAAAATTCTATCGTAAGAAGTATTTAGAAGCGAAATAAATGACTATAATGACAGAGACAACGTCAGAGACAGGGGTGTCATCGGAATAAGGACATGGAAACTTTGGATCAAGTCGTCATTAGTTTAAACAAGTAAACATTGAGTTCATCCAAATATTCAATAATACTTTAACTGTTTTTCTTTTATGTCTTATAACTAATTTTCTTCATTTTACTTTCAGTATTTTCCAAGGGTCAGTGTCAAACCGCGCAGTATCGCTTCCTAGCCAAGTCCGGCGGATACGTATGGTTAGTTACTCAAGCTACATTGATCCATGACAAGAACCAGAAACCTCAGAGTGTAGTGTGTGTTAACCACGTGATTAGGTGAGTACCTAAATGTTCTAAGCTTTAATTTTTCGAAAATGCTTTGTTGTTCCAAGTGATCAAGATTTTTATCGCGACATGCTACGATTTTTTATATTCATTATAACTACTATACTAGAAATATTACTGAATAACTAAAAAAAGGTAATATGGACTGGCGTGATTCTCATTTGATACATTAAGGTTTGATACATTAAGATACATTTATGATTCTTCAGAGGTTTGTGGAAACAATTGTATGTTTTATTGTATATGTGTATCCAACGAGTTTTGTCCTAATTATTGTCCTATATAAGGTATATATGTATCAGTTTATCAACTGAACAATTATTTTTGCGAATACACAATTTGAGGCCCAAATTACTTTATTAACGTTTATTAAAAGCTTTATTAATGTTTATGTTTTCAATACAATTCTAATATTTTTCTGTATATGCTTTTGATTTTTAAAGAAAACAAACGCAGTGACTTTTATTTAGCTCCTTCTTCGATAATCTAATTTTATATAGCTTCATTATGCCTTTATCACTTCTGGAGTGTTTGTAATTCTTCCTAAACATTTCTATGTTCAGTGATCTGGCAAATATATCAATAATCTACGTATGTGTCATGTTTGGCACCTATTCAAAGTTTCAATTAAACGTGACCAAATAGTTAGTAATATTTTATAAACAGCAAAACTTTGTTTCTGGCTGATACTTGTGATTTTATTAAGATAAATTCTGGTAATTTATTTGATATTATTGTTTTCTGGGTTCCGAGATTAAGTGAAGCACGACGTGGTTTAACTAACTTTATTTATTTCAATATTCACTTAATTACAAATATCATAATTGCTCTAATTATAATAACTTTTATCGCTCGGAAAAGAATTCGCACCTATGCGTGGAATCGCAAATTATTACAGAGCCCGCTCCTGCTGGCTTATATAATGAGATAGAATTATCTCGAAACAGCTGGCTAAGCGACCGACGCGAGGGTTGAATGATGGAAACTCCAAAAATTCTCGAAGATCATCTCTGCGTTGATGGAATGAGTTCGTAGGATTGTAACTTAGTTCGTGAATAATTTATCGACGATAGACAGAGTTGTCGATTTCCCTAACGCACATGGCTCACAACATTATGTCGTATGGACATTGGTTGAATTACCATAAAAAATATTGAATTACTTAATAAAATAGTAATATTATAAAGGTGATAGAACAATTAAATTAGAAAAAAAAATTATATAGAAAAGTTGACATTATCAAAAGTTTTAATTGAACACAAGAAGCAACAAAAAAAAATTGAAATGTCATGTATATTAATTTATAATATTATTAATAATTGAAACTACATCTCAATTAGAAACATAATAAATTTTGGAAGCTTTTGCAGCTTGTTTTCAAAACAAGATGTATTTATTCCATATTTACTTTGTAATTACCTTTTAGAGAAAACAAAAGCGACTTTTCAATATCTCTTTTTCATTAAGAATCAGATCAGTATTTTGAAGTGAGTTAATTTCTAAAATTTCAACAGTTTTAGTGATTTCCTGTTAGCTCAAGTGAAACTGATTTTTTTCGTGGACGAAATTTCTTGCCTTTATGCTTAGGTATCCGTTTTTGAAACTTCTGTCCCTCTGACCTCTGTGTACTTGAACATGTACCAAGAGTGTTATCTTATTTACTCCTAAATTCTACCAAAAATTGTTCTAGAAATTCAAGAACTATTTCCCGATGCATTTGAAAACCGGCTGATTTTTGCAATAATAACAGTATCGCTTGTCATCAGTAATTTTGAAAGGCAGAGAGGCTCAAAACTCTTAGTCACAAACGATTTTAATGAAATTCGAAAACATAAACAAATGATGATTGATGAGTGTGTCAATGAATATCCTACAATGTTCAGCAATCGGGTTGCTGAGTTAGTAGATACAAGTGGAATAAGTTTTGAGTTTTGAAGAGAAATGATTATCGATCATACAAAATAAAAAAAAAACTTACGAGATATTTCCTGAGCACAATATTCGACGCATGTAGTTTTTTGAAGCAGTAATAGAAATGGCCAATTATAACGATAATATTGTCGTTGCGGATGAACCAACATTACCACATTTCCAGTACTAAATGGTCACAATTCACCCTTCGTATGTTATTGGTTTCGAAAAAATCTTTTTTTTAAGCATGAACTCAATATCCATGTAAGTTAAACATATGAGGTGGAATTTTGGCATATAATATGATTAGACCATTTTTCACAGATAGAAACCTAGTTGTAGCAAAGTATTTGGATATGCATAGCAGCAAATTGTTCCAGAAATTCGTAGAATTGCTAGCGACAAATTCAATGACATCTGATTGCAACAAGATGGTCGCCCTTCACGTAACAACGCTTAATATAAGCGCCTAATCGTTTAATATAGAGAAGACAAGAAACTATCTTGTGACCAGCCAGATCACCGGATCTGTTATTCAATGATTCCTTTCTTATGGGGACACGTCAAATCATCCATATATAATCATAATAGGACTGTGACACTGCGGCTGCTAGGGATCGTCGATGATGACGTGATTCACTGAAAGGACGTTTGGGTGGAGGTTGGCGCGAATTGAATTGGAGGGTGGAGCTGATGATGTTTGTTTAGAAAACATGTCGCCGTGTCGAAAGCAACCGGGTGCCTTCAACTCTTTTATTGAAACAATTCTAGCCTTTTTCAATCTCTGTGGCTTTTTGAAGAATTCTTGGTTTATAGAAACGGATAATGGCTATGGTTCTGAAGTTTTCAAAATCAATTTTGTTAATTGTATGACGATGATGTTGACCTCGACCTGAAATTGAATCGAAATTGCGAACAGAACTGTAATGTTCATAAATCTTAAAATGGATTCTACGATTGATTTGGCCTATGTAAGATCGGACGCAATCTGTACAAGAAATTATATAAACTCCTTGTTGTTCATTCGGAATATTGTCTTTGACTAACCGAACCTTTGATTAGAGGATTTGGTCCTTTACACCTTTAATGTAATGAAGAAAAGCTTTCTTATGATGAGCGTCTGAGTCTTTGGGTTAAGATTTATCGAGAAATTGATGCCTATGGATGCTCCTATTGATGTGATTTTTACGCTAACCATTTTGGATGATAGCTTGTTTTTAAGAAGAGAGCTCATAGGATCTACTTGCATCATCACAAAGGCGTATTGATCTCGAGACAAGGGTATTAATGAATGAATTAATTTGTGAAGGTGGATAATGAGAGTTGGCATGCAAGTAGTGGTTGGTATGGGTGGGTTTTCGGTATAGTAATGAAAACCTTGGGATTGGTTTTCTTTATGAGAACGTTTAGAAATATTATTCATCAATTCTCCTCATTTATGATTATCGTGTGCGTGTGCGAAGTTCAATTCAAAATCCTATTCTTTGGTAACATTTGTTGATTTGTTCTTTATTTTCCCTCTATGAATTTTTCAGCTCTTGAAAGGTTTATTTATAATCTAATGTAGAATTCGAACGTAAAATTTTGCCGTTCATGTGAGCTTTTACACTGTCTGCAGATCCAACGGTGTCGCGCAATTCAGTATGAAATTGAACTCAGGAACACAATTATTATTATCACAAATAAATCGCGTAAGAGGTTTGAATCGAGGAACATCTTAAAGCAGAATAAGGCTATAAGGGGGTGCCGAGCATCACCAATAAATTATGATGATCTTTTGTAATTTACGCGAAGTTTGAAAACATTATTTGACACTTCTAATGTAAAGGAAAAAGTTCAATAAATATTGATATAGTATTAGTATTTAATATATATATATATATATATATATATATATATATATATATATATATATATATATATATATATATATATATATATATTATATATATATTTGGTCTGTCAGCTACTTAGTATTGTAACATTAAAATTGTATCAGATTAAAAATTTAATTTATTTGGGTATTTATTCCCATTGAATATAGTAGATATCACAGAAATGTCACAAGCAAATAGTTTAAGAACCATATTAAAATTGTATCATGTTGAATACTCCTACATATTTCGATTAGGCATATACCCAAAGATAAAAGGTCTTAGCAAGGAGAGGTCGCAATTTATTGCCTGGAAGGGCCGGGAAGCGCTGTACATAAATTACGAATCTGTCGGTCAGGGAACATATCATTGTAGCTGTTATTCACTAGGGTCTCATTTCAAACACGAGCATCTAAAACTGGCCTGAAAGTTCAACTTTGAGATAAAGGAATGTGTTACTATTGAACGTATGTTAATAAAACGAGTAGATTTATTTATTTAATTGATCTTTCAACAAATTGTTCGATCAGTTTCAGTGCGTATTTTTAGCACTAAAATATAATGAAATTCTTGAATAAACGAAAATTGTTTTTTTATATAAACAAAAGACTGATTAACTATGGAATCGACTTAATGGAAATTTATATTAAGTTTATGATTAAATAAATACTGTTGATTTTAAATCAAGTTCTTTGTAATGTTGACTTATGTTACGCTAAACATAAGTTTCATTAGAAGGATGATTTCCGTTACTTCTATTTTTTTTACTAATAGAGACTAGTTATGCATATTTAATTTTAAAATTGTCCTTTCAGAGAAGCTAATATTTAACGAAATTAATGCCAAAGTGACAAATAAATTGACTGGAAATTATATATACTCTTCTTCTTTTGATTTTAGATAAATTGTCTGTTTTATCTTACTACACCTCTGTGCTTATGTCATATCTACCCTTTTTGGGGAAGGCCCCTGCACCTATTCTCTATTGGTGATTTATTTCAAACGATTCTTACCACTATTTCTTCTTCTATTCTATTAATATATTTAGTTTTGATGTCTTTTACCTCTTACAGCTCTGTAACATTTTTTATTATAATAAAAAATTCAAGTTTCGTCTCTCCCTTCAGTCCTGACCCCTCGGAGGGTGTGTAGTGGTCATTGTGATGTCGTGCATGGTCTGTCTCTGGTCATTTCTTTTCCAGATCC